CCCCCCGTGGCACTGGCGTAACTTACTTCCTCTGAGATCAGAAATGAAGTGCCTAGTATTGATTACATGGCTGGGTGCCCCGTTGTGACTTGCACCAGCAGCCCTGGTTGACACAGCAAGGATGCTCCAGATTTTCCTGTAAAATCTGGAGGAAAAGTTATTTTTTTAAAAAATCAGTTTAAGGGAGGCATAGGGTGAATTCAGAACGGAACTGACACGTACGTTGTGAAGACAGCCTGCATTCACTTCAGAGATTTGGCCCTGCATCATGAAGACAGGTTGCCATGTGGACATGCCCCTAGATCAGGGGTAGGCAACCTTTCCCCTTTAAGGGCCGAGGGACTTCAGCTCCCAGAATCTCAGGAGCTATTGGCCAACATGGAACTATTGGCCAACATGGCTGAGGCTTCTGGGAGCTGAAGTCCCTCGGCCCTTAAAGGGGAAAGGTTGCCTACCCCTGCCCTAGATAGACCTCTCACTGAATCTGGCAAATCATTTCTTATGTGGAACACTGTGCACTGTGAAGCAGAATCTCTTTGGATTGTGCTTTCTGTATTTATTCCTCTAAGAAGGAAAGAAAAGAAGATATAGAACTGGCCATCAGTTTGCATATACAGTTGGCCTTCTGTATCCATGGGTTCTTTATCCATGGATTCACCCAACCACGACTTGAATATATTTTTAAAAATTCAAACATCAAATCTTGCTGTCATTTTATATAAGGGATGCCATTTTACTATACTATTGTATATAATGGAACTTGAGCATTCATGGATTTTGGGATTCATGGAGGAGTCTGGGAATCAAGCCCCAATAATGCCAAGGGTCCACTGTATGGTCTGTGGTGCAAACTAGGTGAGGCAGCAGAGATCCGTGATTTCACAAATAACCTACTTTGGGCTATGACTTCAGGAAGAGAGTTAATTCTTCCATATTATGATGAAAACCTCCACACTTCAAGTGGCTGTTGTGACCCATTAAGAAAAATATGGATGCTTATTATAAGCATATTTTCCTCAGCTGTGTGGACAGGAGATTTTTATCACAAAAATAATGCATAGGGTTGGGTTTATGTCACCTTTCCCTTAAATTGCAATTTTGATTTAGATTAGACTTTGTCATAGCTCTCCATCTATTGTCTTGTCTGCATTGCGTGCCTGCATGTGGCTTCAAGTCACCTGTCAACTTATGGCAACTTCATAAATTTTCTAGGGTTTTTTAGGAAGGAATATTGAGAGGTGATTTTACCAGTTCCTTCTGCTGGAATATAGACTACAGTACCTGGTATTTGTTGGTAGTGTCCCATCCAAGTACTAACAAGCTGACCCTGCTTAGCTTCTAAGATCAGCTAGGATCTGGTGCCTTTAGGGTATTTAGACCATGCCTGTCTTCATTGGCCCTGTGTTAATAAACTTACACAGATAGGCATGCAAGTCTACATTTGTTTGGCCCTGTGTTAATAATATATCTGAACTTATACATACAGGCATGCAAGTCTATATTTTTATTTATTTGTATAGACCTTAAAAATTCAAAATGAAATACAAAGCACAGCAGTAGCCTGAATATGCTACTTGGCAGTAATGTTTATTTCCTTCATAAGAATTAAACACTTCCTATGTATTGGTTTCATTTCTATTTTGGTTTGTTGTTGCCTTCAAGTCATTTCCTGCATATGGTGACCCTAAGGCGAACCTATCACAGAGTTTTCTTGGCAAGATTTGTTCAGAGGAGGTTTTCCATTGCCATCACCTGAAGCTGAGAGCATGTGACCTGCCAAAGGTCACCCAGTGGGTTTCATGGCCAAGCTGGGAATCGAACCCTAGTCTCCAGAGCCATATCTAACACTCAAACCATTATGCCATGCTGGCTCTGACACTGAAACTTGGAAAGTAAGGATGCACTCTTAAGGATGCTTTAAGATGTTGTGAAATCACACTGCTTCCTTCACAGACGTCTTTAGTTTGTAGCCTTTTGCTACAAATTCCACCCAACACTTTCTCCATTTTTTCTTGTCAGAAAAAACTGTTAAGGAATAAAAAACAGATTAGGAGTTTGGTTCCTTTTTACTGTTAGTTCTAAGAACCCTTATTCTTGAAGCGACCCTCTGAGTACCTCCCATTGAACTCGGTGGGGCAGCCTTCTGAGTAGTAAGGATTGTATTGCTAAATGGTTAAGTTTACAATATTTGACTTCTACCCAAAAATTCTTCCAGGACAGAAGGGCAAATTCAGCTCTCAATAAAATTAAAATAGGTTCAGATAAAAGCACACAGAGCAGGTGGAGATAAAACTGAAATAAAATGTGTGTATATAGCTATGTATGCATTTAATTGATATCCTGCCTTTCTCCCGACAGGACATGTAGTGGCTTACAACAAAGTTAAAAATGAGATACAATTTAAAACTTGATAAAAGAAACATTTAAAAAGCAATTAAGTAAGCTATTACGTTAGAATATTATAATTTGCAGCTGTATCAGATCAATTAAAAGACTTAACAATAATGATGAAGAATAGAGCACCCACACACACAGTTAATCTCCAAATGTTTGTTTAAGCAACCAACATCAAAATGTGTCCCATTAATCAGGGACTCTGGTGTTCTGTGTAGCATTTTCAGGAGGGTGAGGGGCTGCCAGGGGAATGAGAAGGCAGGAATGTCTGCCACCCCATTTGATATTCTTAAACCTGCATCAGTAGATTTTCATTGTCTGTTCAGAGCAAAACAAGATAAACATCCTGTTTCTTAGCAGTGCTCACACGTTAACTTCTAGTTCAGATTTTTTTAAAGGGATGCAAGGTGGCTGTTGTTTAAGAATTTTTCTTTGCTTATACCAATGTATTCAAAGTCATATTCTCTCCCCTACCCCTCTTCTTTTTGTTCTTAGATAACAGTCTTTGACCACCATGAGTTGGAGTTTCTTGACACGTTTATTAGAAGAAATCCACAACCACTCCACATTTGTTGGGAAGATCTGGTTGACAGTATTGATCGTGTTCCGCATCGTCCTCACTGCAGTGGGAGGGGAATCCATCTATTATGATGAGCAAAGTAAATTTGTGTGCAACACAGAACAGCCAGGTTGTGAGAACGTTTGCTATGATGCTTTTGCCCCTCTCTCTCATGTGCGGTTCTGGGTTTTTCAGATCATCTTGGTGTCCACTCCCTCAGTGATGTACCTGGGCTATGCCATTCACAAAATTGCCCGGATGGTGGAACATGGTGACACAGAGCGCAAGTTCCGAAGCAGGCCTTTCCCAATGCGCTGGAAACAGCACCGTGGTTTAGAAGAGGCAGAGGATGACCACGAGGAAGATCCAATGATGTACCCAGAAATTGAGGTAGAAAGTGAACGAGAGAACAAGGAGAATCCACCCCCAACCAAAATGAAGCATGATGGCAGGAGGCGGATTCGGGAGGATGGACTTATGAAGATATACATACTACAGCTCCTGAGCAGGACTATGTTTGAAATTGGTTTCCTTATTGGACAGTATTTCCTCTATGGGTTTGAGGTCAGCTCCAAATTTATTTGCAGCAGACATCCTTGTCCGCACAAAATAGACTGCTTCATTTCCAGGCCCACAGAAAAAACCATCTTCTTGCTCATCATGTATGGTGTGAGTTGTTTGTGTTTACTTTTGAACATCTGGGAAATGCTTCACTTGGGATTTGGCACCATCCGGGATACCCTGAACAATAAGCGGAAAGAGCTGGAGGAGTCGGGGACCTATAATTACCCATTTACTTGGAATACACCATCCGCTCCTCCAGGCTATAACATTGCAGTGAAACCTGACCAGATACAATATACAGAACTGACTAATGCCAAAATAGCCTACAAGCAGAATAAGGCCAATATAGCACAAGAACAGCAATATGGTAGCAATGAAGAGAACATTCCCACCGAGTTGGAGAACCTCCAGCGAGAAATCAAAGTTGCTCAGGAACGCTTAGACCTCGCCATCCAGGCATACAATAATCAGAACAACCCTATCTGCTCTAAGGAGAAGAAGCCCAAAGGCAGTTCAAACAAAAGCAGTGGCAGTAGCAAATCAGGAGATGGAAAAACCTCTGTCTGGATTTGATACTGTTTGCTGGGGATTTAATGACTTGATAGTTTTCCCCTTGCAGTGTATGAGCAATTACAAACCTGTTGCATACAAGCTTCCATAGAATAAATATTCAGGTTTGTTTAAGTTTAGGGCGATTAGGACCTCAAACAGACGGGCCAAAAGAAACGGTTTCTGGCCACTTTGGGCACGTGGCGTTTAGATGATGCACACTCCCAAAGTAGCCAGAACCTGCACCACAGCCGCTCTAAGGGAAGAAAAGCCAGACTAAAAAGAAGGTGAATTTCCTGCTCTTTCATGGAAGGTGCACAGCTTTAAACCTGCATGTAAACTCACTAATGCCAGAGCGGTTCTAAAAGAGTGATTTTTTCTAACCCCCACCCCCTGCATATAAATGCACCGATTCAGGTGCACATTTAAAAAGGACAGCCGCCATACCTAACTGGTGGTGGTGGCAATGGAAAGACACGAACGTGTGACACCTCTAATGGATGTCAATACAATATACACAAACCAGATAGTCCAAGAGGGGGCATGAGGTGAAGGGGGGGCATGATTGTATCTTGCTAATCTTCATGGGCACAGCTCTGCTCCAGTGCCCTGTCCTGCCCTGTCCTGGTGAAGGGCTGCAGATGCGACTGTGTGGAGATTCAAAGGGACAGCAATCAATGGGATGGCAGTCGCCACTGGTTTTTTCCTGCAATAGTGCACAGGGATGGGGGGGGGGGGGGGGAAAAAAAGTACCAAGCGGCACAGCTTGATGCCGCACCATGCAGTCATGGCATGCACACTTCAGCTGCCATGGGAGCATCCGGTGCAGTCAGGAGGGATTTGCCCCACTCGGAAAAAGCAGCTTCAAGTTGCTCTTTCCTGCCCGTCTGCTTGATCTCCAAAAGGAGATGGAAAGGGAAGCATTTATGCTCAGATTCTGATGTTTCCAGAACATGTATTCTTGTTTCTTCCAGGTCAGGGGAAGACCCAGGTTTATTTTTTAGAAAGAAAAAAAACCATTCTTGTTGAACGGTTTACACTGTATGTACAGTATTAAGGTACATTTTATTATGCACAACTTTTTGTATTTGTATATTGGATATCTCAGTTATACTTTTTATATTAAAAAGAACAAATTAGGTAACATTGGGTCTTTTAGTAAGGTTTTCCCACCTTATATTCATAGATCTGTGGATCTAATTTTGAATTTTCTAGAAATTTAATTTAGATAGCAAATAGGTTCTGGGTGACTCTCATAGACAAAGGCAAAAAATAAAAATAAAAAAAATAAAACCACAGCCAAAACTAGGGAGAAATACTTCAGATGTATTAGAAGTTAGTAGCATAGTCAATATTTCAAAATTCAAATTAAACAAAAGATTTTTTTGGGTAACAGATTGTGTATACTTGAACTGGTTTCATTCACATGGATCCCTTAAATATAATTCATTATGATACTGATTTACATATTTGGTCTGTCACTCTAAGCCTGTTAGCTGAATGTACACCATTGTCATAAAAAGGTTTAACATTTGCAAGGTGTTGGCAGTGAAGTTAAATTTTGGATTCTCTTTAAATTAGTGGTGGAGTAGATAAGTCTCCTCCACACAACATCCATTGCAGGCTACCTCCCCCAAGTGGCTAGAAGAACAATTCTGTTTTCCTTTAAAATACTTTTAGTCAAAGCAAGGTGCACTAATGAAGTATCTTGTTTTAAAGGAGAATTGTGCTTCCCAGAAGCTTTTGAAATCATGCCTTATTTCTCTTTTTCTGTCTCTCACCCTCTGGGAAAAGGGTGGTTTATGGCAACTCTGGTGGCTGCCAAATCAGGTGAAAACCATAAGCAATCTAGGATCCACAAAAAATAAATCGTACATCAGTTCTGGGTTGTATCAAATGACAGAATAGGAGAAAATATTTTCAAAAATGTTTAAAATAAGGCATCCATTCTGTTGCACTTATTGGCCAGATCACACAAAATGGAATCTGGATGTTGAGCTTTCAGCAGAGCTTTCACTTGATCCAATTAGGTTTGTCTCAGGGGCTGAGAATACAATGCTGTGAATCAATTTATTGGAGTTCCAACATTTGGGAGCCTTAGAGGAATGGAAAGAGAGCTCACAATCCTCTGTGTGAGGAGAGGGTGTTGTGTTTATTTTTCTCTAGCATAAGCTCTTCAGGTATGGAAGCAGCTTGGACTGTGGAGAAGATTGATCTTCACGGAATTAAAGACACCAGTGTCTCCATTATTGCATGGGTTTTAATTCCCTCAGTATTCATAATTCTACCCTGCTCCATTGGATTACATGGACAAAACAAGTTTTATGGATGCTTGGAAGTATTACAGATACTTCACTTCCCACCCCATAATTTTTAATAGGAATGGCTTTGTTATATCTTTGTTAAATCTCTGGAAATTTATTACCTTTACACATTAGAGGACGTTTCTAATTAAATGGCCTCCCATGCCTCCCAAAGATAATTTTCCTCTTTTGCTCAGGGCACTACAAAATGGGGTTGTAGGAGATGGGGTGTGGGAATGTGTTCAGTTTGTATTTTGCTCCAGAGACCAGTTGGGTTTTGGCATTCAATTTCATTGTATAATTAGACAAGAAAGAATGCAATGTTTAGAGCCTTTGGTGGTGCCTTTTTGGCAAGGGCAAGCGAGAACAATGATGAGACGATAATGTATTGTGTATGCCAGTTTTATCTAATATTTATGATGCATTCAGACCCCTTTTGCTCTCCCTGTCTCTGGTAGCTTGAAGTGTCACTTCACTATTTTCTGATTTCCTCTAAGGTGGA